AATTAATTTTGAATGAACAGTTATCAATTTACCAAGCAGAGAGCATTAGGTAGAAAAGCCAAACAAGTATTTGTAAGAATATCTCAACATGTGTGACTCTTGGTGTGAATGAATCCTAGAGTCAAAAGGAAAAGAATCCCATTGTTCTGGATGAACAACACATCTATCATATAAAAGAAAATTAAAAGGTGGTCATACCATGCATTTGGTTTTTCAAATACAAAAAAAAAAACAAACAAACTATAAAACAAGAGTTCTTCACACTGTAAATACCTATTTGTAATAAAAACTAGCTGTTCCCCTAAAGAAGCACAAGTCTGAAGCCTTGAAACCTTCACAACACATCCACAAAGAAGGTAAGACTGCTCCAGTATTACGAAGAAGCCAAGGAAATGTAATTCAGATCCCCACAGTGAACTATTAATTCAGAAAGCTCTCTGTTGCTAATGCATATTCTTCCATTCAAAGTGTCGTAACTTGTTAAGGAGGTTTTAGGCTTCCCCAAACACATATCACAACTAAACAGAATTTTGCTTTATCACAACATTAAAAAACAAGTCAGAAGTAAAAATCATGGAGAAAATTACAAATTTTAAAAATTCCCTCCTCTCTATCAAGTCCCCTAAGTAGCAGAGCCAGAAGTTTATCTCTAAAAAAATTCCTATCCAGGGAATCCTTTGAGATACAGTTCTTCAAACTCACTCATTTTTAGATAGGAAAAAAATCCCCATTAGTATGTTTTCTTCCTGGATATCTTTACATACACAAATACTCAACTTCTAAAACGTCCTGTCTCTCTTCATTTAACATTATGTTATTATACTTAAGTACAAAAAAGGAAAACTTACCGAGAATGACTTAAGTATGAAGCTTGGCGATCAATCTCTTCTGCGTCTATTTCTACAGGATTTATTACAGCTAGTTGATCAATAGACCACCTAAATTTCCCTGGAGTCTTAACAGAAGAAAGTGAGCTCATGAGTAATAGAAAACTAAAACAGTTCATCAAAATGCTAACCAATGTCACCTTCAAAATTAATGTGAATGCTATAAAGAGCTTCTATTTAAAATTTTGACTTTAGGGCTAGGGCTATAGCTCAGTGGCAGAGCACTTGTCTAGCACATGAGAGTCACTGGGTTTGATCCTTAGCACTACAAAAAATTAAAAACAAACAAAATAAAGGCATGTTATCTACCTACAACTATAAAAAAATTTAAAAAGAAATTTTGACTTTACCACTAAATGGCAAATGATAATCAACTTATATTAAATCAACTGGCTTGGCAATATCTCTTAAAATATCAAAACTTTCCATGGAGTGATTTAAAAAATTACATAAAAATAGAAGAATCACAATTGTGTAGCAAAGGTATAGCAACTCCACAATTAATACTCAACAGTGGTACACCATGCCCATATAAATATTAAAATCTCTCAGAGTTATCAAAGATCTTTATTTTCACTAAGAATAAACTGAAATTTAAAGTCCTAACTACAGGAGCAGCTACAAAAGCTCACAAAATAGTTGATCCTTCGAATTATATTAGTTGCAACTAGTGCTTCTCTATATTCAACTATCCAACTGATTCAAAAGCTTATCCAAATCCTAATTTTGGAACTAATAATTCTAGATGAACTCAGGCCTAAAAACTCAAGATGCCATACATTCTAGCTTTGAGAATTAAATTAGTCATTCCATTACTTACTTTAATTAAGATCAAAAGATGACTAAGTTTTAACATGATTCAATTAAAAATCACAAGGTCAAATTAATGAGATGATTCCACTTGAACTGTAACACGGCCTGACTTTCCTCAAGTACACACCTGCTCACTGCCCAAGCTGATATGAAAGTACAATAGAAACAATCATTCGGTTTGCAGTTTTTCTAGGTAACTAACTAGGTTAACAGACTTCAAGAAAACTTTAACCATAAAAACAAACTAAAGGAATGAAGTCTTCTCTAATCTAAGTAGCATTTTCCCTTTCACATCTCCTTTGTGCTAACTGCTAATCATGGCAAATATCACACTGCTTTGAAATTGCTCATTCAGTTGAATCTATTCATTAGCATAGGAGATGGTTTCTTTTTATCACAGCACAGAAGCTAAGAACATTTTTAAATGGTTAAACTCAAAAACAATATTAAACATCACAACATAAAAATTAAATGAAATTCAAATTTCAGTCTACAAATAAAGCTTTATTAGAACACAGCTAGCATTTATTTATTTCACACATTGCCCATGGCTGCTTTTTATTCAAGGCAGAGGTGAGTAATTTGACAATGACCAGATGATCCGAAAAGCCTAAATATTTCCTGTCCAACCCTTTACAGAAAGTTTGCTGTTTCCTGTACTGGAGGAGGAGGAGCTCACTAGGGGTTTAAACCTAATGATTCTAACTTATACACTGTGTAACACCTATGCTAAGCAATGGATCTGATACAAAGCAGCACTCAAATCTTGTTTAACAATTTAGATAAGTAATTAGAAAATTTTAATTAGAAAATTAAAAAACTAATATTGTATTCTTTAATACAATATTAGTAGATATATCACCAGCCACAGTATCTAGTTACACATACAATGACAGAATGCTAAAGTTATTTCTTGAATTATTGAAAAAAAAAACAAATGCTAGTTAGATAGGAGTAAGAAATTCTGATGTGCCCAACAATTATGTACTTTATTTCAAAAAGCTAAGATTTTATGTTTTTGCCACAGACATACAAAAAAGTTTGAGATGGATGTTTATTCTGATTGAAACATTACACAACATATGCATGTACCCAAATTTCACTTGTGTCTAATTTTTAGATATCAATTAAAAATTAATTTAAACCAGGCACGGTGGCACATGCCTATAATCCTAGTGACTTGGGAGGCTGAAGCAGAAGAATCACAAATTCAAAGCCAGCCTCAGCAACTTAGTGAAGGCCTAAGCAAGTAGCCAGGCCCCTATCTCAAAATAAAAAATTAAAAGGGCTAGGGATGTGGCTAAGTGGTTAAGTACCCCTGGGTTCAAGCCCAGATACAAAAAATAAACAAATAAATAAATAAACCCTAATTTAAGTAAATTTAATTTTTTTCTTTATTCCCTATTTTTATTGGTGAATAAATATATAATGGTGGGATTCATTGTTCTATATCTGTACATGCAAACAATATAATACAGTATAATTTGGCCAATATCATTCCCTTCAATTTTTATAAGAAACTTACCACCTTTCTTTTCCTTTTTAGTTTCTACATATGAGAGAAAACCTAGGACCCTTGACTTTGTGAGTTTGGCTAATTTCACTTAACAAAATGTTCTTAAGTTTTATCCATTTCCCTGCAAATGACATAATCCCATGCTTCTTTATGGCTGAATACAACTTCATTGTGTATATATACCACATTAATTTTAAAAATTAATTTTTAAAAAAGCAAGTGCTAACTGAAAATTTGTCTACCTAACTTATTATTAGCCTAATCACTAGATTATAGTGAACACTACAATTTAAAAAGCACACTGCAGCTATAAATGTTCCATAATGTACTTTCTCCTTACTTTGTAGAAGATATTTACATTTAAATATAATTGTAAACTCTAGTTAAGAATAACTTACTGGTAATTTTGTGGATTTAAAAACAGAAGGACTGGCAAGAGTTTGTTCATGGAGAATAGAGTAATCACCAGGACTTTCAAAAGGATTTAAAACAGGGATCCTTCCTGGAGTTTCAGGTGTTATTTGCATTTTTAATTCTTTGATATCTCCCATGGCACAGAAAACAAACTACAAAGAAACCAGAAGTATACGTATTAAAATCACAAAGTATCATACATGTTAATTCTGACAATTAAAATGTGGTCAGCACACACATTTCACAAAAAGAACTAGCTTCAAACCTAACACTCATAGTTTGTACAAGAAACATCACACTTTCTCGAGTGATCCTTGACATAATCTTGTTACAAGTAAAATATCAGTGCTATCATTTTGTTGTACAGTAAGGCAAACACAAGTCCAGAATCGACTTTGAGGCAAATAAATATTATAATAGGCACAAATACTTTTCGATTAACGGGCTTCCATCGGTAGTTTTTTATTAATTACCTCATGCAATCCCCTATCAAACTGCAGTTATTATTAAACAATCCCTAGTAGCAAGTAAATAAGAAATGAGGAAGCTGGCGCATGGGTGCCCTTCTTGCACATTAGCCTGTGAAAAGAGAAGTATGACTGATAGGATCCAGGGAATTAACTGCCTCTGGTTGCCATTCCCCAAACATCTCCTTTTACCACCACCCCCCTCCACCTCGAGGGAGTAAGCGCGACTGCATTACTTCCAGTCACAGGGTGCGAGGACTAGAGAAAAAGAAGAATCTACTTCTTAAAGACTGAAATACCGCTGGCTTCCTTGGGTGAAGAGCAGTGGAGTGTCACCCTAGTCCTAGATTACTCAGAGCGCCCCTCTCTTCGACACGTACTCCCCCACTGCTCCCATTCCTCCACGGGGTGGGTGGAGGGCCAGGTCTGGAGCTGGGAAACTGAGCTCTCCAATTCGAGACAGGAGGAAAGGCTGGGAGTCACAAGAACGTACCTAAAGGTGTGTACAAAAAGGAAGCCCCAAATATCCACTCCAGGGGGCTCCCAGGGGGCCCGGCCAGCTCCCACGACAGTCAGACTCTTTAACTCCCCGCTTCCGCGCTGTCTTAGGCCAACCAGCGCACGGGGCTGGGGGCCGACTGGCCAATGGCGTAGCACCGCTGTCCGCGAACCAGCCAATCGTATCGAGGCGCCGGAGTAAATTCGAAAGGCAACTCCTCGCTCTTCATTCCGCGCTAAGTAACGAGGCTCCAAATTCAAATCAACGCAACCTCACGTTGGCGACGAGCACGAGGGGCGGAGCTTTTCCGGCGTGTGCCCCGACGCGCGCTGTGATTGCCCAGGAGAAAGGAAGGCGCTCCAGTTCCGGGTCAGGCCCTTCTCCCGCCTCCCTCAGCCTCCGCCATGGCGAGTGGCAGCGGCGCCGGGTCGTCGGCGACCCGCGGCGGCGAATCTGAATGCGGTGAGGGAGACCATGGATG